ACGTCTTGTTTTTGCGAAGCGACTCCATCTCCGAGTCGCACGCTTCTATCCACTTGACTGCGTCGCTGGATTCCATCGCTGTCTTGAACGGGGTCGGCATTATCCCACTGAATCTACGACGAACGCCACTTCGAAGTCTTGCCTTTCTTGAGCTGCAGCAGACATCTCATCCAGCGTCGAACGTCCATTCTGCGACGCATACCGCTTGGCCCTCGGCACCTCCACGGCTTCCTCCAGCGACTTTGTCCATGGGTGTCGCTCGTTGCCAGGTTCAACGTCTTCATCCCGCGCAGCCTCCTCTTCGTCTTCATCGTATTATCCTCTTCGTCAGTGTCTTCATCATCTTCATCCTGAAGAACCACCGTAACCTCCTTCGAGGTATATTCGCGTTTCCCGCCATCGAAAACGTCTTCCATGAACTGCGCGTCGCGGCTCACAAACACGCGACCACTATCCAAAAGATTTCGAACCGAGCGGTGATTTGTCACTCGCCCGACAGAATTTTGCTAAATTGCAACAGAAAATCGGTGACGCTCCAATCCTGCATCATTTTGACCGACAAAATGCCATCCGCGTGGCACTATTTGCGAACGCGTGGGCGCTAAGTTTCACCCTCATGCAAGAACATGGTGGCAAAATGCACCCGGTTCGTTTTTCTGGACGTGTTTTGAAAGAAGCCGAGATGAACTACTACCCAGCCGAGAAGGAAGTGCTCGCCTTGCAACTGTTACTGAAGGCATGCTACACATAGCTGACAGGCCGCACCATTCATGTGTACACACGGTTTTCAACATTGGAGTGGGTACACACATTGAAGTCTCTGTTTGGACGAACGACCCAGTTCGCCGTGATGCTGTCACCGTGGCATCTGATCACCAGAGTCAAAGAAAGGGATTGCGCTTTCGCCCAGCTCTTACAAGCTGGGCTAACGAGTTTCGTGGATCTGGAAGACTCGTTCGCGACGGTTACACCGCCCACGAAGGGATCTTCTACCGTCCGCATGGACCCCAGTTGCTCTATGCTCGATTACCCCGATCCTACAGTGAGCTCGTGGTCTCGTTTGACGGATCGGCCAAAACCGAGAAACACGGTGGCTACGGTAGTTGGTCATGGATCGTCTGGCGACTACCTCACTGGACAATAGTCACCGCTGCGAGTGCCTATCTCGAAGCAACAAAAGTGAATATGGCCGAGTATTCGGGCATGAACAACGTGGACCCCCAACGGTTCAAAGAGAACGTCGAAGAAGGATCGCGACTGCTCGAGACGAGGGGTTACGGTGGGCGAATTTGAAGACAGTTCTCCGCGGGGAAGAATCAACCCTAACGTACCGTGCAGCGAGAGACGCATGGAAAATGTCCGATCACTTCGTCCTAAGTGAGGACGATGTACTCCACTATGTGGGAACGAGGCTTGTGAAGAGTGACCAGCAGGAAGAAGACGCAATGCTGCGTCTAGTGGTACCCTCAACGATGATTCAAGAGGGACTGCAGAACTGCCACGACTCGTTAGAAGGAGACCATCAAGGCATCGACCAGACTTTCTACAGATTGAAGTTGGATTATTACTGGATCGGTCTATATGCGGACGTAGCGAGGCACGTGCGGTCCTGCCCCGACTGTAGCTCAAGCAAAAGTCGACCAAAGATCCGTGGATACTCTCCGGGGAACATACTAGCGGAACGACCGTTTCAGGTCGTTTCGATGGATTTTGTGATACCCCTACCGAAGTCTCGGCGAGGCAATACGGCGCTCTTACTATTCCAATGCGCATTCACGGGATATGTGATGGGCAAGGCTATGGCAGACACGACTGCTCTGAGAGTAGCTCAAGCGTTTGAAAAATGCGTGTACCGGAGGTTCGGTGCACCTTCTCTCATCAGACATGATAGGGACTCTCGATTCATGAGCGAGGTGTTCCAGTCGTTCACCGAAATGATGCAATCGCGGTCTAGGGCAACGTTGAGTTACCGGCCCAGGCCAATGGCCAGCCGGAACGCTTGGTCAAAACTGTCATGCAATCAGTGCGTGTGTACGCGGAAGATCCACTGCAACAAGACTGGGATG